GCACCACAGTGAAGACCTTTAACCACCAGACTATCGTTTTGATATTTGAAGGAATGGAATATGGGCACTACAACAGAAATTTTTAGGAAATGGAACTCAGCTCAAACTCTGTTTCACCAAATATTAAAAACATAAAAATTAATTTGCCTCTAGCGGAGCTCGAACCGAGGACTTAACGCGCTACAGCCATAAACTCCAACCACTCGGCTATCAAGACGATGCAACGATCAGTGGCATTTTGCACACTTCAAAAGATCAGAGCAGAGAATGGAACTCAGCCGCTGTCTGCTGATATAACAACCACAAACAGTGGTGGAAATTGTTATTTCTACCGTTACTGGTGAACTATTATACAAATAACGAACTGGTATGATTTCATCTTCAACATACTAGTATTTAACTCGAATTTTTGTATACTAGTTGGTTTTCCCCTGCAGGGATAAAACAATCCCAAAATATCAAAAAAGAATTTCGTTTAGGTTTTTGAAAATCTTAACTACATATAATCCTATGAACGTCGGAACGAGAACAAAAATATACCAATAAATGTAACCATTTTTGCAAAAGGTAAACTCACCCGGTTCGACCATAATTTTTTGATAGTCTTGTTGAATTCGGCAACGGCAAAAATGAACTTACTTATACCTAACATCCACAAGAAATACTATACAGAAAACCTTTTCTAACGGACAGATCTATTAGAAGGGAACGTCTGTAGAGAGAAAAATTTCATCAATTCATGCGTCAAGCATTTTTGGAACAAATGATCCTCCCTTGGGCGGACGCGAACTCCTCATAAGCGTATAAAAGTAAAGAACTTAATGATATATTCATTAGATACATAGTGAGATTTTAAAAGTAGTGGAAGCGTAAATATAATTTGCAGATAAATGCGTGCCTCGATTGTTTTTACTGAGCTGGTAACAAAAGCTAAATGAAAAAACTTTGAACAGCTGATCGTTTAGAAGCCTCAGTGCCTTTAGTCAATTATATTTAGAGCACTTTTAAAAAGTAAAGAATTTCGTATCATTCATACACAATAACGGTGTCAAAGTTTTCGAAAGAAATTTAATGGTTTTCTCACATTTAACATTTTCCCCTCACACTTATGTATGAGATCTTATATGAACAATTTAATGTAAATAAGTCGAGATTTGAGATTTGAGATTTTGTGTCATGAATATGCCAAAAAAAATAAAAACAAAAAAAAACATCTAAGAGTTGGTAGTCTCCACACTTGATGATGAACTACATATTGCTGAAAATCATCGATATCATTTTTGGGTGAAATTTGGTATTCTACTAACGTATATACAAATAAAAATTGCCACGGAAAACGCTCGAAATCGAAGGATTTGTTCTGATATGAGTTTTTGGGTCAAATATCGGTCCAAAAAGTATCCACAAGCGTTAGAATTGATACTTTACTCACTCTATGCATGAACAAATAAACATTTCCAACGAAAATCCAATCAATTTAGCTGATATGAAAACTAATTTTATTATGAAAGATATAAAGACTATGGCACGATCGAGTACAGCTCTTTTTTCTTTCTCCATTTGCATTAATTTTCTATAAATTCAGATATTGGTCGACGTGAGTGTGAAGCCTCATCTTCTCGAAGAGTTACGTGCTGCTACTAATCACTCGGTTATTTTTCCTCTGCTCAAATTGCTTAGCATTGCGTATACGTAATTAATTTCGATTTGTGTTACGTATACGCAGTGTCCTTATAAAAGTACATTTTTTCAAAGCAAAGTTATATTTTTTTATTTTACACGATAAGTCATTAGATTGATCGTTATCTAAAAAAATTGTTAGAATTATATACATATATATAAATTTCAGTTTTCACATTTGCCATATTTTTGAAATATTTTTTAAAGGCTCGAAAACTCCTGTCATTGACTTTTAGGCTACGTTGATGAAAGGAAAGAGTTTTCGCGCCTTTAGAAAATAATTCAAATTTATAGAAAATTTGCAAATTGAAATAAAGGTATGTGTTTATAATTCTAACAATTTTTCTTTTATTTTATTTGTAACAATTTTCCGAAAATTTAGTTATAATTCCTTTTAAAAATATAAGAAAGTTAGACAAGATTTCAAAATTTTCCATATAAGAAATCAACGTATTTTCAGTAATATTTTGAAAATGTTGGCTATTCAGAGAAAAGTGTGAATACATTCTATATACATAACTTTTAAATTATACACGAAAACAAAAATAAAAACGAAAAAAGTAAATATTAATAAGTAGATTCCAGAGATTATTTATGGCTTTCTTTCTTTGAAATAATTACACAAAAAAATTATATTTTTACACGCATGTATGCATGTATGCATTTTCAATACTATGTGTGTAGGTATTATATACGTGTATATGTAAATACATAAATATGTAATGGTCAAGTTCAACCCATACACGTTCGGTGATTTATTTGTGGAGACATTTTCTTTGTTGCCGGGTTGTAAAAATAAAATTTCGTGAATATACATACATATGTACACAACTATATACACATGGTTGTATGTATGTATGAAGAAATATTCATACGAAATGTTCTTTTCAACTTTGTAATCTTTTAGAGATTTATATTTTTATTTTTCTTTTTTCCCCCTTTTCTTCTTTTGCTCAAACGTTTCTTCTTAGACAACGTAGACTCATAAGCGCCCAACTAATGTCAACGTACGTGTACATACATAATTGATCTCGTAGATTTATCCTCAATTCTAAATCTACTATACACTAAGAAAAATTTGTCTCTTTTTTCCTTATAAATTTGCTTTTTATTTATTTTTACTTATATCGCTTTGCTTTTCGTTACAAAAACAAAAAGTAAAAAATCGTGATTTGGCAAATTTTCAACGCTCGCAACGCACAATGGGGTGAAAGTGCTCTAAACACGCGCATTAGAGAAAAAATTAAAGCAGCTGGCAGGACATTTTTTGTTAATTTTTTCTATTTAACATGCATTAGGCCATCAGAAAGGCTTTACTACGGTAAAATCGAACAATGCATTCGAAAGAAATGGCCAGTTGAACAATGTAGAGTTGAATTTTTTGTTTTGAAAATGGTTTAATTGGTTTGCAAGAATGTCCATAGGAGATACATTTGTCCAACAAATGAGTCTTATTTTTTGAACACGACACCTAAACATTGATGCAATTAATCCCCTGTTAACATTTTTCTCGGAGTTTTTTTAGTTTAGAAAATATGCGCGTTCGAACTTCTTACAAAAAATTTGGCTTTTTTTGGAAAAATTAACATTTTTCTTCGGATCATAACTTTTTTACTTATTTTACTCATCGCAAATCAACGAAATCCTACAGATCTTTAAGGTATGAGCTTTTCTAAATCAATAGTGTCAAACTTACCTGCAGAATCCGGCATTCTAGTGAAATATTTCTATTTGAACTAACCACTTCAGACCAAAATTTGCTAAATTGAAAAATTTTTATATGAAAATTGTTTGGCAAACATAGGCAAAATTCCTTAATAGTTCTTGTACTAATTGCAATTACAAAATTTGATGTTTTGTGACTGATGCAGCGATCTTTGGTCGAGTTTCACAACCAATTTGTGGTATCCGTCTGGATATTTTACACAATAAATGGAGGGACCTACAGTTTATACCGATTCGCTTTCGAACGGTTGATTGTTTTTATGAGGAGCTTTATTAGTTCATGTTCAGAGGGCTTGAAACTCCTCGCGGAGGGTCGAAACCGAAATTAGAAAATTTAGCTTAATTTTTTATTTAAAATTAAGTTTCTATAACTTTTTGGATGTTAGTACGACAGCAGGATTTGAAGCCGCTGCGACGGCAATTAGGAAACTTATTTCCTATAATATTGGATGTTTATCGAAAAAGTACTCAAACCATGGTCCTAAAAATGTCAGTACACAATACCAAACTCTTGGCTCTCGTGACCAATACAGTATAAGAAAAAACCTCTGCTAACCAAGTTAAGTTGAGATATTTCCAAAACTAAAGCATTAGTTTGCGTCCAAACAGACGGAAAGACAGGCAGACGGACTTAAATATTAATGGGTCTTCGCTTTCTCCTTCTTACTAATATAAAAAGCATAATTTCATAATCGGTAAGCTTTGCTGGATATTAAAATAAACTCGTACTCGTTTTTATAAAAATTTTCAACGCAAATGTTCTTCTTTATTAAAGAAATTCGCAAAATTTAAGTTACCATAAAAAAGTTTCCACTTGTCATGGACCTTGAAAAGTATAGTATTTTGTATGTACAATGAGAAAATAACCTCAATCAGTTGGAAAATGTTTAATATTTGCATTTTCTTTTATATAAGAAGATTGGTAAGAGATCTCTATTTCCGAATGCAGTAGAGTGCCGCTCCCAGGAAGAGTAAATATAAAAATTTTTATAGCTTTCGATTTCTTCAAGAATTCTTAATCAAATCTTCATCGCATACAGAAAGGATTGCTCGTGTTTTAAGCACTTTTAACCCATTGTGCGACATGCTCAGCATGAACGCAACGATTTTGGCGCTGATTATTGCCACTTAACTTCGATTTGTATTTATTTGATAGAGCAAATACACATACATACGAGCATGTATTGTAGATGAGGCACCACAAAATTTTGCCACAAATTTACTTTTGAGTGCTTGAAAATGCACTAAATACTCACGACCACCTTTGAATAGTTCGCGCTGTAACATGTATGTATGTACTTATGTACTATGTATATGTATGTGAATCACGTTTGTATCACGTGTGACGCTAAAAGCTAAAATGTTGTGCCCCAATTCGCTTCCCTTTTTCATTAACCACACTTAAGTGCTGCTGAGCGGTGTAAATTCGTAGGAGGTTTTTTGACGCCCAATTTAATTAAGTGTTTAACAGTTTAACAGTTTAAATGCAATAACAGCAAGTAATTTCAACGCTTTTGTCTTCTAACAGCATAAATCATAGATATCAAATCACATTTTCTAATTGAAATTCGATTTTTGGTTTTTCCTTCTCACAGATGGCGGAGCTCATGCATCAAATGCGTAATCCTGCGCATACACTTGGCGGCTCTGTTGGTAGCATACCGCAGACTTTCGTCGCCAATGGCTCCGGCAATGATTTATCCATGCAACGCGCGCTCACCGGCAATGGTATACACACCACACCGGCTACCAATCTGAAGGTCAGCGAAGCCGTACGTAATGCTCAACACGATGCTAGTCCCAATATTGTTTCGTCAAAGATGAAATCTTCGAAATCCTATACACATGGCTTAAGCAATTCGGCGGGCACAGTGAGTTTAACATAAATTAAAGAAACCTATATATATATATGTAATAACTAATTATTTAAAATCTCCCTTTTAGGTGCACATTCCAACATCTACCTCTGCGCAGAGTAACCTATCATTGCTGGCCGATATCTCGCCCAATCACACACACTTCTTCGAAGTCATGTATGTGGGTAAAATACGCGTCTCACACAAGCGTGTACCATTCTCATTCATTGACGATGCGCTGCCCAAGTTCAAGGCGTACGACGCACAACGTACACGTCTAATGCAGTTGACCGCCACTGCCACGGCAACGGCAACGGCAACATCAGCAGCAACAAATCGCAAACTCTCGCTGAATGTTGAATCTAGCAATACCAATGCTAACGCTAATACTAATCCCAGCGTCATATCATTCGACCTTAAAAATACTTCACTCAAGGAGAGTGATGCTGAAGAGTCGGCCGGTGAAGCGTACGCTGGTGCGGAGACAGATGTCGAGCCATCAACAGAAACCGAAGCAGATGTACAGCCGAAAAGTGTTGCCGTTGTAGAAGTTACACAATTTGCGGATATTGCTGAAAAAGCGCAAACAAGCGCTGAGAATAAATCACCGAAACGTCTATTGCGCGGCATTAGTCACACTGAACTTCCGGTTAGCAAAAAGTAAGTGATCGCCATGATATTTTACATATGTGTGTATGCATATGAACGTAAAGTACTATATGTAAAGGGTGGTTTTTACCGGCCTGAAGGGTTTTGTAGTTACATTTTATAGTTTATTACAAGACCAAGGAAAGTAAATGGCAGTAAAAGGTTTTTATAGACGTGCAGTTTTCGATAAGTAATAAAACGCATATCTACTATTTCATTTTAAAATTCGCAAAAGACACCACTACGTCTGGCTATAATTAATTCCAGCAGAGAGGTCCAATTTTCGACCACTCTTTGCAGCAATTAGGGCCGTGTGTCAACATAAACATGCCGAATATTATCTTCCCAGACGTTGATAGTCTCGGGCTTATCTGCGCAGACAAACAACTTCACATTTATTTATATATATAATTTGCGCTTTGTAACCAACAAATGTTGGGACCTACAGTTTATACTAAGCCGCATCCGAACGGCTGATGTTTTTTTTTCATGAGGAGCCCTTTGACATTCCCCGCCGAGGGGTGACCGCAATTAGAAATTTTAACTTAATTTTTTTTTTTTTAATTAATTTTTTATACTTTTTTTGGCTCTTAGTACTACACCGGGATTTGAAACTGAGCCTTCTGATTGGCAGTGCACAATGCTAACCACTCGGCTACCGCGGCAACTTCACATAACACCACATAAAATAAACGCTTTGTTAAAACGCAGGATCTTGGAGACCACGCCACAGGCCTAGCACGCAAGGCGTTGCGCTCACCAAATGTTTACTTTAATAAATTGTTTCGTTGGCTGTGTAGCATGTTAGGCCGTCTTGTAAGAATCAAAGGTCGTCCACATAAACAACCTCAAATTCAGTCACGAAAATGTCATTGATCATGCCGCTATAGCATTCCTCGTTGAGTGTAACACTATGACCGGCTTCATTTAAAGATGTGTCAATGATTCCCTTCGCCCATAGAGCACACCGAATAGTGACTTTTTGTTGACGTGACGGCCTCTCAGTAATGGTTTGTGGATTGTCATCACTCCAATTGAGACAATTTCGCTTATTAATACACCAAGTCAATCAAAAGTGAGCTTTATCGCTATACAAAATTGTCTTGTGTAAATCGAGATCGGTGGCCATCTTGTTTCGCACTCATTCAAAGTACGTGCGACGCGCTTAATTGTCTTTCAGCTTAAATTTTTGCTCCAATTGCTCTGCTTATAATTTACTAGCTTAGCTAGACAGTCGGAGAAGTGGTTATCGAGGAATTTGTGTCAATGCTGAACAGTGCTATAGGTAATGTTTAATATACCTCTCCTCTTCTTCGTCCCTGCAACTGCGGCAAAAATCATTAGAGTGGTAGCGCATTATTTTCCCGTGAAGCCCCATTAAACAGTGGGCTGTTATTATGACTACCGTTATGTTAATGTAGAACAGGTCTTAAAGAATAAGATGTTTTAATTTCTCTGGTCACTTTGCACGTGATCACATTCAGCCATCTTTGACAAAAAGGCAGTTTAAGCATATACTTTGCAGTGGAAAAAGATAAAAATCTGCATCGTCTCTCGCTAGTTCGTCTGTCTTGCAATTACCTGTGTTCGGATACCCAGATCACGGCAGTTTTTCATTTAGTCGAGAGTTTATTCAAATTGCTCCTACATTTTATAGCCACCTTTGATGTAGTACTGTTATATTGTAGAGAGCTCAACTGTCGGAATATATCCTAAGCATTTGTTCTGCTGCCATAGATTTGAGCAGCCACTCAGCTGTCTCCATGATTTTAAAAAGTTTCGCTTGGAAGACGCTGCCTTTTCTCAAATTATCGACTCTACTGTGCGATTATGTCGATCGAATATAGCAGCGCGATGCACGATTTGCAAACGTTGTTCCGGGGTGAATCTGGACATTATGAAAAGGCAAGCCAAACTGAGTATAAATCAGGTAAAAAAGAATTTTCACACTTCAAAAAAAAAAGTCCTTTTTAGAATTTACTTAAAAAAGAAAAGCAGTTTGTATATGTATGACGACTTCATGAAACTGGCCTGAGGTACGAAACGATTAAATCGCGCTTCCAACTCCTGTCTTTCCCTTTTTTGCCGCCTGAACCTTGGAGCAAATTTCTGTTACAGATAGAAGATTTTTTCTACAAATTTACTCAGGTCTAAATTCTCGAAATGTCGACTCTGCTAAATCACTTATAATAAAGAGCGACGTGGAGTTCTTACATTTTCAACCAGTTACCGAAGATTAAACGTACAATTCATAATAAGAGCCAGATGATTCAAAAATAAACTTGATATTCAGAAGAAATTTCTGAAGTGTTAAGACTTTTCGTAACTCTTCATCATCGTGTGAGCTCAGAACACTGTCAAAATGTTAGCCGAAAACTAGTTCAAAAATCAGAAATTCACTTTTAATCTTGCCATTAATCTCTCGCACTCCTTTTCCTTAACTGACTTCGTCTGCCTTTTTGTTTTAGGAAAAATGCATTTGCCGCTGAAATTTCTCCTAGCGGCGAGGCAAATTTGAATCGAAAGCAGGTTACTTCGAATAAATTGAGTTATTGAACAAAAAGGATGAATGTCTTGTTCGCCGTAGGACAGATCTTCCAAACTTGTTTGACTCCTTTGGAATTTTCAGTAAACCCTTTTTCCAATCTCATTGCCATAGTTTCAGATCTACCCACGAATTAAGCACATACCGAAATGTAGAAAGCATTTTCAAAATACTGAAAAAATCGAATGATTAAATACAATACTAGGAACGAGCTTCGGCTCTTGAAAATTCGCTAGAATTGTAGTTAAATATACAATTTCTTACTTCTTAAATTCAAAAAAAAAAAAAAAATGACTTCTAGTGCCAAATCTAACTAATGCTAAGCGCGTCTTTCTCTTACCCACACAAACGACCAACAAATAGTGCCACTAATGCAGAGGTAGAAAAGGAAACAGGTTCGACGGAACTGTCAGTTCCACCAAATGTTATAATCAACAAACATCCATCGCCGCCTCGACACGCAGAGGAGGATGTAAAGGAGCAGGAAAAGCAACAAGAAAAAACAGCAGATGCTGTGACAGGCACACAATCACAACAACAGCTAACAATACCGCAACAACCAGCATATGCAACGCTTGAGACGTGAGTAGGATGTTGATGTGTTTTCCGGCTTTGCCACCGGCCGCATGCTTAGCTATTGGAGATGCTAACAAATCTTGTGTGCCCTTTAGCTGAATTTTATTTTGTAGCGAATTAATGTGTATTTATGAGTTTTTTGCTTGCTTTTCTGTTTTGTAAAGTTTTTGCTTTGCGCTTATCAAGCTTACCTTGCACATTGACTGTGTTAATATTTGTTTCATATTTTCGTTGTGATTTACTACTTGTTTTTTGTACTTTTTTCCCGTAATTTTTTCAACCATTTTTCTATCATATCTCTTTCTTATATTTTTCTATATTTTTCTCCTCCTTTAGTATACCTAAGCAACGTGACCGTTCAGCCTCGTATGGCTGCATACCTCCCTACGTGGAGCAGAATCGCACAATGGTATTTTTGGTTGGCCGCTCCGATTTGCGTCTCATTTCGCCCGATCGCAAGCAAGTGTTGCTGTACAAGGACTTCAAGGATGTCGCTAGTTGCGCGCAAGGTCAAAAGAATCCCGATCATTTTGGCATTATTTGCCGTGAGGTGCACAATGACGGCTACATTGGTTATGTCTTCAAGTGTCAGTCCGAGCATGTGTGCGACGATATTGTTGCGGCCATTTCGCAAGCATTCGTAACATGCGCCGAACAGAAGAAAAAGGAGGCCACACAAATCTTCTCTTGCGATCACTGCCCGATGTTATGGTATCACAAACTCTGCACCGATGTGGAAGGTTTAAGTGAGAAGAAGACGCAAGCGATGATTTTCCGACGTATTGAATCATTAACCGATGATGAGCAGGATATGATTTGGGCCAAGTATTATGGTTCAGAGAAGACAAATTCGCCTTTATCGGAACAAAATCAATTTTTAATGATGCTTTTGCGCGCTCACTGTGAGTCGCGTCAGCAGAGACACGTGCACGACACAGCTGAGAATCGTTCGGAGTTTTTAAATCAATATCTGGGTGGCAGTACTATTTTCATGAAAGCTAAACGCTCACTTACCAACTCTTTCGATCATCTGTTGAAGCGAAAGGCATCAAAGGATGATATTGGTGTGACACAGGGGTTGCGGGATCAACAAATAAGGGAGAGATCCGCTGAGCCGCATCCGGTCAGTCGTAGCGGCGATGAAACACCACCGGAAGGTTTCCGCTCGCGGTCAAATACGATTGGTAGTGCAAGTCCGAGCAAGCCCAGTGCAGAGCACTTGAAAAGTCCCATGATGGACATGTAAGTTGAAATCAGTGTTTGCATGTACATATATTACATATACATATGTATGCATATATTTTAAATCCTTTTCCTTTATAACAGTTTTATTAAAGTTGGCAACAACCCAAAGGAATCGGAAGCCCATCAAGCGTCTTGGCGTCATGCAATTTTGAATAGCGTAGTGACCCCGTCGAAGGGCATGGACGGTGATGTACAGAATGAATTTATGTCGCCAATGAGAATTACAAGTGAGTTACTAAACCTTCAATGTGCTGCAGCGATTTGAAAAAGATAAAATGTTTATTTGTTTTATTTTCACTTAGAACGTATACGCGGTAAACGTACTCGGGAAGAGCTTCGCGATCTCTGGAAGACTGCCATACGGCAAACCATACTCTTGAATCGTATGGAAACTGAGAATGCCATGCTGCAGGCGCGTCAAAATGAAAATGAGCTCAAACGTATTAAACTCGACTACGAGGAGATTGTACCGTGTGACAAACAACTAATCGAACGTTGGGAACAAATTATTGAACGAGACTCAATGAAGATTGGCAATAAGAAGGATCCCAAAGTTTTAGCGCAGGCGATTAAAAATGGTGTGCCACGTTCCAAACGTGGCGATGTTTGGACTTTCCTTGCCGATCAGCATTCCATGAATACCGCACCAGTAGATACAAAGAAATTTCCCAATTTCAATACACCCTATCATACGTTGTTGAAGAATCTCACCGAACACCAGCATGCCATCTTCATCGATCTGGGTCGCACTTTTCCCAATCATAAGTTCTACAAAGATCCACTCGGTGTGGGCCAGTTATCGTTATTCAATCTGCTCAAAGCATACTCAATACTTGATCCCGAACTGGGCTATTGTCAGGGTTTGGGTTTCATATGTGGCATCCTATTGTTGCATGTGAGTAAAGACATTTAAATTTTTTTCTAAAAATGTTTATTTTTTGATAATTTTTTTTAGTGCGACGAAGCTGATGCTTTTCAATTGCTCAAACATCTCATGTTCAGACGTCAAATGCGCACCAAATATTTGCCGGACATGAAAAAGTTCCAACTACAGTTGTATCAACTATCACGTCTCGTCAAAGATCATTTACCCGAGTTGTATATTTGGCTCGATCAAAATGATGTATCCCCGACTTTGTATGCCGCACCTTGGATTTTAACTGTATTCAGCTCACAATTTCCTTTGGGCTTTGTTGCACGTGTTTTTGATTTACTCTTCCTTGAGTCATCTGAAGTGATTTTCAAATTTGCCATTGCTCTGTTGACCGTGCACAGGGATGAGTTATTGGCGCGTGATAATTTCGAAGAAATTATGGATTATCTGAAGACAGTGGTGCCGAAAATGGAAGCAAATGCAATGGAGAAAATTATGAAATTGGTAAGATTTGATTGATTGTGGCGATTGGCAAAAATTTTTTTTTTCTGATTATTAAATTTCATTGGTTTTTCTCTATGTAAACGCACAGAGAGAGCAAAAGAGAGTTTATACGTTTTCAAAAGTCAATTAATTCTTCATGATTTTGACAACCGCTTACCAAAGGTAAAAACAAAATATGCGGTAATTGTTGTATTTGCTCTTTAGCTCTCACCTTTAGGATTCAGCGTCGGATGTTACCAAAAAATAAATGAAAATCAAAAATAAATTTTTGAACAAAAAAATATGGTTTAGAAAACAAGGTTTAATTTTAAGTTTTAGTTTTCATTCCTAAACTTGATAATGACTCCAAGAATAATTATGTTTAAGTCTTCAGATGCTTATACGAGGAAGTATTTTTATGTTCATGGATTGAGAAGGTTATATGGGAGTGAATAGGCTCATTAGGATCATAACTTGATCAATAACTCATAATTAGTGTAAATACTAGGTTTCATACTAATTATGCAGTTCCTTATCAAGCACGAAAATTCAGTTCCGACAGAAAAGAATGGGGAAAACACCAACTACCTCGATCACAGAGCCATAGCCATCTTTACAGACGATTCAAAGCTCGACTGAAAAGTAGGCTGTGGAATCCACTCTCCGATGCTTTCAATAAATATAAACTCGAGACTACCAGACCCCTGCAGCGTCTTCCAAGCAGAACTTTTTGCAATCAAGGAAATCGGTAAATCTACATCAGCCGGATAATCAGTAACGATATATACCGGCAGTCAAGCTGACATCAGATTTCTACAATGTAACAGTACCACATCATAAGTGGCTATAATATGTGAACAAACTCTCGACAGGCAATTGGCAATTGAGCTAGCGAGAGAAGGAACCCTTCTATCCATAATAAAACGTGTAGACGATGCAGGTTTTTTTACTTTTGTTTACGGCAAAGTTTGCTTAAGCTGGCTTTTGTGAAAGAAGCAGTTATGCTGGAGTTGAGTCTGTACAAGTAGAGTTTAACCTGCTACAGTATCGCGGGTATCTCGAGGCAGCTCAAGCTCGATGTCTGTAGTGCGTGGTTGTTTTTCTCGGAGTACGCCATTCATGGAAAGGAGTGTTGACTGACTCCTGGTGAAGGGCATTCAGTGCCTGTTTGTACGCCGTCGTGTCCAGCGGTTGTTGTACGTATTGTTGGATGGTATTTTTCATGTTTGAAGAGCCTAAGTGGTGGTTTAGCTTCGATAAGATAGCTTTTGGGGTATTCCCAGCGGTAGCATCCCAATAGGAATTGCTTTCACAGCAAAGCATTATGCTCCTTAACTCGTAGCATAGATGCTTGGTTTGTCCCCGGCGCCCTGATTGGTGCAGCATAACTTACGACTGGCCGGCCAATTGCTTTGTAAGCTGCCAGCAAAGTTTCTTCGTCTTTACCCCAGGTGCTGCTGGCCAGCGCTTTGAGTATTTTGTTGCGGCTCTGGAGTTTTGCAGCAATTACGGTCGCGTGCGGCGTGAAGGAATGCAGGCTATGTCGTGTTACTACCAATATCTTTGGGTTGTTTATAGTCGAAATTTTTACGTCATCGACTTTCACATCTAATTCAAGCCTGTATTCTTTCGTCCAGATGGTGAAGAGGGTAGCCGAGGATTTAGTCGGTTGTTTTTTCAGTTGTCGTGCAGTGAAGAAGTGAGAAAGATCGACAAGGTAGCAGTTCACTTTCGAACAGAGGTCATCAATATCCTGGCCAGACGTCATTATCGTGCAATCATCGGCATACAAGGCTAGGGAAACTCCTTCTGGTTGAGGAAAAAGTTTCGAAATGTAAAAATTAATCAGTAGTGGGGAGAGGACACCACGAACCCCCCTGTTTATTTTTTATGAGTTTCGATATTTCACCTCGGAATATTACCGATAATTGCCGACCACTAAGGTAGCCCATGACCCACCTTTGCAGCCCCGGCGGTAATGAGGATTCCTCAATGTCCGATAGTAGCACGAAATGGTTGACGGTGTCAAAAGCTTCTGACATATCCAGTTCTACCAGGACAATTCACGCGCAGGGTCGGTTTTGATGAGGGCCATTGACTCTTTGAATGTTTATGGCGTTTAATGCTGTTATGGTACTGTGCACTTTGCAGAAGCCATGCTGATTTGATGCTGTACGCAGATGCAGAGTGAAGATCGGGTGCAACAACTCTCAACACAGCCTATTCTACGCACCGGAGTTGACCCCGATTTTATCCGGCCAAAGGCTGTCACCCTTTCGACGACCTAACCCCGTTTAGGTCAACAGGTAACATTATAATTTGTTGTTAGTACCTTCGCCATGTTACTTTTAGGGAAAAACTTTACTTACAGTGTAATCGCCTTGGCGACCCTTGTATTATTGTCACCATAACCATCCCTGAACATGTACAAGCAGTTTCCTAAGCCAACACTTTTGAAACTTAAAAACTTCTTTAGAGATTTTTCGAATCCAATGTGATTATTAAAACCAGATACAACAACAAAAACTTGTTTTGACTATTTTTTTTTGTTTTAATTTCAGGTATTCACTATAGATGTCAGTAAGCAATTGACGGAGTATAATGTCGAGTACAATGTATTACAAGAAGAGATCTCAACAGCAAATCACCATTTGGAGATGTTAAATAGAGAAAAGACACGAAATATGCATCTAGAACAGCAACTACAGGTGAGTTGTTGTTAACACTATCTTCATTTAACTTCTAAACCTAACGGTACATGCTTATTTATTCCTCCCCGCACGCACAGTTTGCCCAATCTTCGATTGCACAACTGGAGAAGACACGTTCTTCTCAACAAACGCAAATCACCTCGCTACAAACCCAAGTACAATCACTGGAGCTGACCATACAAACGCTGGGACACTTCGTTGCTCAATTGGCCGAGCAAAATATCGATCTTGAATTACCCGGCGATGTGCGTCGTATACTACAACAATTAGAAGATTTGGAACGCCAACGACGTAGGCCACATTTCACAGAGCGCAAAATTGGCAAATCCGTATCGGTCAATAGTCATTTGGGGTTTCCACTAAAGGTGTTAGAAGAGTTGAACGAAAAAGAAGAACATGGTTCGCCACAAAAGAAGAAGGAGAAGACACCTTTTTTTGAACACACCTACGAACAACTGCGACAACAGCGGTCTGCACAACAACAACAACAACAACAACAGCAACAGAGTGCTCAAACATCACCCACAACAACTCAACAGCAACGCAAGCTGATCACAAGCGCCAGCAGTTCATTGGATGAAAATCATTACCAAACACAAACACAACAACAACAGCAACAGCAACAACGGCCAAACCGCCTACTCGACTCGCCAGACAAACAAACCAAACCAACAGAACTCAAGCTGCCCGATCAAATGGAGCAACAGTTTGGCGGTGTGAATATACGCAGTCCAAACGAGGTAGACAGCGGTGTCGGCACACCGTTGAGCCCACCCAGCACGAGCAGTAATAGCAGTAGTAGCGGACTCAGTACAGGCTCTAGTATTGGTAGTGTCAGTGGCGGAGGTAGCCTTTTCAGTCGAATGGGATATAAGAACACACCAATGGCGCTCTCACCGTTAAGCAGCCGTCATACGCTGTATGCCGTGGGTAGTGTGGCAGCTATCAACCATATGACAACAACAAAATCCACAGTGGGAAGTATCAAAGTGACGGTGCCACCAGTCTCGATAATTGAGCCCACTGAGCAAACACAAACGGCCCCGGAAATGCATCCTCTCAGCATGGTGGGTGAGGTGAATGTGCGATTTAACGGTACGACACAGTTGAAATCGATACGGCCCGTGCATCATATGCGTCCCATGGCCACCGTGGCAGCAGGTGTGGCAGCTGCGGCAGCCTCTGCACTACAGGAACAGCACAACACGAGTGATGTGAGTGGTGAGACTAGCGACAAGGGCAGCGTTGACATTGAGACGTCGAGTTCAGATGCGACAAATGGTCGCAGCTAACGGTTTTGATTCATAGCGAAAATTTTGCGTAGCTTCTATTAAAGACAAGAAAAGGCAATAGAAAACTAAAGACACAAAAAAAAATAGAGGAAAATAGAAAACAATGCAGGAATTTCGACAAGTTTTCGTTTAAAAGCTGGAGCTTCCCATGTGTTTACCATAACTGAATTTTTTATAATTAAATTTTTAAATACACGAAATATTGAACTTTCCGTATTCATCCCTTTCACTAGATTCGGCTCGGCGTTGTTTACTCCTCTTTTAAATGGAAAATTGTGTGACATTTCAAGCAACAAAAAAATCTTAAGCTTCATGTATTTAAAAGAAATCTGCGAATATATATTCATATATAAATTGAATGCTTGCAATTGTAGTTTAAAAACGCAATTCTATATGTAGCATTTGAACATATAACTGTTTTTGAAATGCTTCGAAATGCCACAAAGAGAACTAGACACTTTAATACAAGCACCTACGCTACACAATCGCTATGTAAAATCTTCTAATTGAACTAGAAGGGAAGGTTCAACAATCTTCAGGAAGTCATACATGAAGACATGTATGCATGCGTTGAGATATTTATATGTATGATTATTTCGTTGATATGATATTATTTCTTCTAAGATAATTTTCTTTGTTGGTGATATTGTTTTTGTAATTGCATAAAAATTCCAAGTAATTTTGAGTGGAAGGGGTTTTCCAAAAAGTTGAGGATCGGATGTTTATTGTAATGTAAAGAGCATGTTACGCCATTAATAATGGAAAACAAAATCAGTCAAATGGCCGCCCGCGTATGTATGTACGTATCCAAATATTCCATCACCAAATCGCAAAGTGGCTGCTGTATGCCTTCAATAGCTTCACTAATTCCTTCTTTGTGGTCTTGAATCGATGTTAGTCCGTCTTTCACATGATTCCAGAGAATCAACTCTTTGAGAGATGACACGGTCCGCAAACTTTTCCATTAAAAGAGAGATAGTTTCGTTGCTTATGTTACACGTAGCGCACCGTCTTGTTGAAAGCAAACGTTGTTCAGATCAATACCATCCAATTCCGACCATAAAAAAATCATCAATTATCTCTCGTTAGGGCCATGCATTCGCCGTAACTCTTGATTCGGTTCTTGATTTTCGAAAAAGTAAGATGACCCGCGGGAGGGTAAATCGCATCAAATAGTATCACGTATCAGTATCTCCATCCTTTCATTCATTTCAACAACAAATCTTGGATTTTGCTTATTCACGTAGTCATCAAGATGATTTTTCGATGAAATTCTGGATCATTTTCATGCATTTCAAGCACCCAATCAGCAAAGACATGAAAACATGACCTTGTTGCTGATCGGCAGAGTTCAGTGCTTGTGTTATGTGAACTTTGAAAGCCTTAAGACTTAAGTCTTTAGGCAAAATATGCTGTAATGATGTTTGTAGAATACTCAATTCCACTTTTGGCTACAGCAGCAATATTCTCAGTTGTTCTTGTCCCGCGTGGATGTATTTTATTCTTCATATCACTAATTTGTTCCTACAGCTCTATTTTTTCCATCAATTTCTGAATTCAGTATTGCGGTCCGACAAAGTGCTACACGACGACCGAGAAATGTTTTAATTTTTTTCAAAACGCCTATGCCAGATTTTCACCATTTTTATAGTGAACTTTAATAATTTCAATCCATTATTGAAGCGTACATTGTTCAATTTTTATTTCTTGCGGATTGGGGGTGGAAGAATTTACCCGCGGTAATAGTTCACGCGACAGTCGGGCCAAGGACTGACACTCCCACAATATTCCCCAAAAATTATTTTGAGGAATATTTTTGCGGTTGCAACAATAAAAAAACAACAACATCTACGGGAATAGCAGGCTATTCCAAATAACACCTCTTATTGGCAAACGCTAACACATACTGATGTATGCATAAAACTGTTTAGTACATCAATGCTTGATTGACTACATACTATATATGTATGTATGGATGACTTCTTTTCACTAAATTTTGACACTTTTAGTTCGTACCTAAATTTCCCTTATTATATAAATATGAGCAGAAGCGGTTCCAAAATTGTTATTGTATTTACTAATATTTACCATCAACCCAATGGTTGCATTAAAGCCAAAGCAGCCTGCCCCAAAATTATTTGGATAATTCTTTATGTTTTTATAACAGCTCCAAACGAATTCAACTTATATTTTCTATTTTACTTGGTCATTTTTTCAGTTCTGAAGTAGAATTATAAACTATTTTAAAGAATCTACAAAATATTGTTCAATTGCTAAGATTCGAATGTATAAATATTGTTGAATGTGTATATTTATAGTATATTATTAATTTAAGCAAAAGTTTACAAAAACGATAAAGAATTTATTTAATGATTTTACAAAATTCCTACGATTGTACTTAAATTAAAATTTAGTTAAATAAGTACACATTAGGTGAGAAATGAGGAATGATATGTTTAACCATTTTTTTTTCTTAAATAAAAAACTGTGTAAATTAAGTTTTAAAATTTCCTTTGAAATAATTTTATTTTATTTTTTATTTCTTTTTTTTCAAAATAAAAAGTTAAATTTAAAATCATTTTATTTAGTTTTAAATGGTAAACTCTGATAAAAAAAAAACAATATTTGTTAAAAATCAACTAATAAAGAAGCAATAAAGTCCATTTCATATCCAATTTTGCTAGGTTCTGTTGGTGTTAGATACGTATATATGTATGTAGATGCTTACTACTAAATATTCACGCATGATATTTATGTAACACTTGTGTGGTTTGAGAAGTTTTTGTGATTTTTTTTTGGAAACTTTTTTGAAAGCGCGTGAAAATTGTTTAATTTACGCCACATGGAAAAGAATTTGTTAAACATTTTTAAGTTTAAGTTTGCCTATTAAAAAGAGCGTAGTAAATTAATTGAGGATAGAAGATATTTCTCAATACATTTTTTCTATGGTTGAAAAACTCATTACAATTTGAAAAATTACTTACTCTTTTGCAATATTTAACAGGCATATAAGCATATTTCTTTAGCTATATACAATTATGTATGCATATAAAAATAAAAGGAAGAATTAAATGTATATGCCTCAACAACAACTTTGATAGTACTCATAAATACATAAAAGCAGTAACTTTATAGGAGCGTTAAGTTCACGTATGTACGTATATAAGCATGTATAATCAATAAATTTCGTTTGTCATTTTGTGCGTGTCATAATTTATTCAACTAAAAAATAAACAATATGTAATCAATACAAAAACAAAATGTAATCTAATGTTGTAACATTTTCTAGCTTAGTAATGTATGTACAATACCAAAGGCGTATATATATATATACATACATACAAAATAATAAATACCTACATATATGTGTATGCTTGAATAGTGTGTAGTAAATATTATAGAACCCATCAATCATTCGCCCTGCTGCTGCTGCTGCTGTTGCTGCTGCATGCATCCACACACACTCTCGAAACTCATGAATTTCAAAGTTTTATAAAATGCTTCAAATTGTTAAATTTATATGCTTAAAATATTATGTTATACATACATACATATATACAATGCTATAAAAATGTAACCGTAAAAATTGAAATTGATATATATTGATATATGTATATGTAATTGAAATGCAGCGCAAAAGAAAAAACTATTTAACTAACCCAGATAAAGGTAAATTCAATTATTATTATTATTATGTAGTTCACCAAAGGCAATTGCAGCTATTGAATAAAAAAGTAATTTAACAATAATTCGAGGTGTGTTTTTTTTAAAGAAGGAAGCTAAATTTAGTTAGTTATTAAAATTTACAGCAGATGTGGGGCACACAAAAATCGCAAGAAAGCCGCTGCACCGTTAAAATTGTATGTTTTATATTTCAATATATTAAATTCATAAAAAGAGTTCGAGGTTTTTGTCTAAAACGGAGTTGAAAGCTGATATTTTTAACAACAATATTTTTTAATGAACCAGTTTCTTCATCGGAAGCTCAGCTGAAAGTCGGCATAACATAAAAAAACTAATTTAAAATTTAATAACCCTTTGGCTAGGAATGGGCAGCTGGCTCGGGATTTCTATTTAAAAGGGTAGTAAAGACCTCCTGTTTTTGTTACCTACTGCTTCAAACGGGCTTGGGGAGATCCGCCCAAAATTTGCCGTTGGAAACGGCGATTCTAGCATCTAGGCTCGACTCTATTCGTCATGTCGAAAATCCCCTCATCGGGGATCTCAATAAGGAACTTGGGAGTCAAGTTAAAATTTATGAGCGGAATAAGTGGGAGGTGATGGGCCTTAAGATCCGGAAACTTCTCCCCCGGGGCAAGCAAGCTCTGGGCAACAGTCAAACCGTTGCCAAACTGGACTAGACGCGATGGCCTGGTGGGAATTTTATTCGGTGATCGCGTCTCATTAGACCAAAAGAGATACGCGAGATATTTTAGCCGATTTTTTGCACTGAAACCTTCGGTTGACAAAAAAAGGGAAAATGGGCAGGGAGTCATCGTTAAGGCGAAAGCCTCCAAAACCGTCGAATTTATTTAATTTAATACTTTATGTAAATTTAACTTTTATTGGCGCTAAAACAAACTTTCTCACCAAGGTCTTCAATTTGTCTCTGACCAGCATAAAAATATTCAACTGTGGAAAATGGGTGGGGTGGTCCCGCTACGCAAACCGGTGTAATAAAATCAATTCGAGCGGCAAGTCTACCCACACTAAGGAGCTGCCAAGATCAGTATAAGTCTCCGAGATCATCTAATGAGAGGTCGAGGAAAAGAGCTGTATCGACGGCTTCGGACCAGTGCGAAATGGGGGTTGGATGTGTTGGTTTTAAGGGACACGTCGGGTGTGTAAGAGTGGTGGTTTGATTCCGAGAACTCTGTTCACTAGAAATAAGTTCAAGAAAATGTTAACCGACTCTCGGTGAATGCCGTTTAATTCCTGTCGGCAAGCCATCATTTCCAGCAGTTCCAGTAAGTGGTGCTGAATGTAATTCTTATAGTCAAGTACTGCCTTCCTGATGTGCGCAGATGGTGGATCGGCTTGTAGTAAATATTTGTTGGAGTGTTCTCTACGGTTGCATCCCAGTAGATATTGCTTGCAAAGTAAAGCTTTATGTTCCTTAACTTATATCACAGTGTGAAGACCTCATCTTCAGGCGTACCTGATTTGCTATGAAGGCTAAGGGTTTCCCCAAAGGGTTCGATTTGTGTTTGTTTGATGTGAATTGGAATATTCGTATTCTACCTATTTTCGTCGCGCAAGCTGTGCCCGATAAATGGATTCCATACATCCATATCGGTCTTAAAGCAGAAATGTGACAATATGTGTGATTTCGTTAGCTGATGGATTAGGTAAATTGTTGAGCTTCACAGTAGAGCACTACCTTGCTGTGGTTGGTATCCGGAAATTGTTGATGCAGTGCGCAATCTGATATTGTCAGATCATCATGTGACCTATCCTGAGATCGAGAAAATGCTAATGAGCCGGAAAGTAAATAGAAGTCGACTGTATGATCTGAGTGAGTTCTGAGTGGTACACAACCATTTGATTGCCAGTTGTCTCTCAAGAAATCAGCAAAACCAACCGTCGAAGACGGATTACTTTCCCATTGTTAGTTCTGACTTTTTTCATTTTCGTACGCAAAAAATAGACTGTGAGGTCACATTTTACATACCTAAAGGGGGGGTGTAACGGGGTCTAGTCAAGCTTCTGGGTATGCTTTTACAGTTGCGAGGATATACTCAATTCCCACTCTTGCGTCCACGTCGCGCACCCTGGAAACGTGAGCAACCCTTGTGCAAGATGCGGTAACCAACCCGTGTAAAGCCTTGGGACACGGCCAATAAGAGAGAAAACTTAAGTGGAGCCATTCCTGCTTAAAGGAGCGCAAATTTGGTGTTTGAAGTACTGGCATTCATCCTGGTGGATGAGCGTCTCGCCACAATCCGCATCAATGCGAAATTTTTCAACATTTCGTTGATTTGCGCCCACGTCCCGACGGGAGAGAATGACGATTTAGGCAAAGATGTCTTTTATGAGCGCCTAGAACGTACTTACGAGCGCTTCCCTTGGCACGTTGTGAAAATCGTGCTTGACGATTTTAATGCCAGGGTGGACAAAGAAGGTATCTTTGGTACGAAACATCTCCTATTTGGCTGTCTCTGATCGAAAAACACAAAACCAGATTGATCATGTTGTGATAGACGAAAGATATGTCACAAGGAAAGTTCGATGTTGAAAAGCTGAAATCACAACAGAACGATTTTCTACTCGACTTGCACTCCTGCTCTCTGAGCGCACTTATCAGTAGGTAATTGAAAAATAAAGTTCTCTCCCGACGAATGGAAGCTAAATTGACGATGACAACATCTGATGAGTCTGCGTTAGGAGTTTTCGAGAGAAAGGTTTAGCGTAAGATTTATGATCCTTTGCGCGTTGACAACGGCGAATACCGCAGACGATGGAACCATGAGCTGTACGAGTTATAGCGGTTACGCTGGCTGTTGTTAAATCAGCTTTAATCGCGTAAGCGGTGTCTACGCCAGTAAAGTAAGTAAGTAAAGAGGCGGCGGTTGCGTTCCGAATGCATACTTTGGAGATAGGATCTTAATGGAGAATATTTTGAAAAACAATGCAAGCGAATTTCGGTGTTTCCAATATATAAAAGCTAACACTTTTAAGGACATAAACGATAAATAGAAGTCGCTGAAAGGGATTGTAATGACCTTCGAAGATTAATTGCCCTTTTTCTGCTCCAGGCAGAACCTAAACCTCATATATTTCACCTGCAAATTCAATCCGCTTCCTACCCGCACCGCGTAGTCCCACTCGAGTTCCAAGAGTTGAAAATTATTGACTTCAAAATTAGAAAAAAATTTTTAAGGTTGACAATTTTTTATTTATGTTTGTATGTATTTGTTTGTTAATATATTTTTCATTTCATTTTTCTAGTTTAAATTAAAATACGAATAAATATATTTCTAGCAAATACATATGGTTTACAACTCAAATTTATTTAATTTATTTTTACTAATATTTACAATGACAATAATTGAAAAATCACAGTTAAAATTTTTTTATTTTATATTTTATTATTTTTTATATATTTTAATTTTCATATTTTTTAAATTTTTCTTAAAAAAATAATAATAAGCAAAAGTTCTATCATTTTCTATTAACAAAAATTCTTAGAGAAAATTCTACATTGATTTCGGAGAATTCACTATACATGCACATACATATAATCACAATATGGAAAACTTTTCAAAAGTTAGAAAATTTCTATCAAAAAGGTTTTCTGACAACTTTTTTACTTGAGTTCGTGCAATTCCTGCAAAGCACTTTTAAGCTTTGAAGGAAAAGCGCTCAAGTTACCGAAAACAAGTTGACAAAGAAGCTTTTTTATGGTAAAAAAAAATAATTCGAAGCTTTCACAGTTTAGAATGAAAGCGATTTTATTTACGATTTTCCGTGATTTTCAAAATTTTAAAGAAAGTAATGAAAGAAGCAATAATTTACTAATCTTTTTAGGAATTCTTTAAATTTCAATTAAATACTGATTTAATTGCTCTGCAGAACAGATTACGTATAGTGTTCAATAGCCGAAATCAATTCGAATTCTTGCTTAAAGCTTTTTCTAAATCCGAAAAGACAAATTTTTGATTGTTTAATTAAATAATCTTTAATACTTTTTCGATTCTTTATCACCTAACCATTTCAATGCCCAACCAATGACAATGCTCACACGTAGAGTGTATTCTATCGAAGCTCCCGAACGTACAAAACCTCTCCCGTTGAGAGACTTTAAGCTTTTGCAAAAAAATTGCACATAAGCGTATCAAGTTTTCGACTTCCACAGAGTATTTGTTAACTCCTCGGGTTTTCAAAACAACTAACAATAAAACCCTTTGAGGAAGAATCATGCCAAATGCATGAGCAGCAAAACCAATTGCTCGTTTCCCTTAACGATTTACCGTAGGCGACCCCTGCCGCCAAAAACCTATTCAAGAAACTATCTTCCGCTATGGGCTCACAATCACTCCTTATACTGCTGATGCTTCTCACCGAATTCCGACTTGATGGTCGCATTCGCCGTCCCACCATAAGGAGGCATATTACCATACAGACCACTTGCCGGTGGCATTACGCCAGTTGCCGCCGCCGAGCCTAACATATTTGCCATATTGGCTGGCATACCACCGGGATAGAGATTTTGATAGAAAAGTGGATTCTGTAGCTGGAAGAGCGCCATCAAGTGTGTCAACTGCATATTGGATGTATTGGCGTCCGGTATTTGCATACTCTGCACCGCAGCTGCTGCTGCGGCGGCAGCGGTAGCCGCACTGAAGTTGGTCAGGAAAGGCGGTGGAAAGAAGCCGCCCATAGTGTTCGACAGTTGTGTGTTATTGCCAGAAGTATTGTTGTTGGCGAGTTGTTGTGTGGCGCCGGCAGTAGCAGCCAATTGGTCGTCATTCGCTTCTAATTTGATGCGTTTAGTTGGCTCCGTCTTTGTGGGCAACTCCTGGAAATAGTAATGGAGAAATTGTCTTAATCCGCAGTGCATAAAATGTCAGCCTTGATTTACTTACAATTTTCTTTGGTGGACGTCCGCGCTTACGTGCCAAAAAGCGATCAGCGCTCAACGACGATAGAGGTGTGGTTGTATGTGAGGTTGTGCTCGCAACAGCAACCGTGTTGGCGACCGGTAGTGTGGCGCCCATGTGCGCCGGAGATTCCTCACCGCTTGAATCCTTCCGCTGCTTGAAATTCTGATAAGCCTGCTCGCCATCGAGACGATCATGTTTTCGTTTATGACTGATCATTTGACTACTGGAGTGCAAAATGTAATTGCAGCCCTCGCGCACACAATGAATATGATTGCAGACAGTTGAAAACTTGCAACCATCGAAGGGGCACGTTTCGGTTTTCAATATCTTTTTGAAGCCATCCTGTGTGAGTTGGTAGTCACGTAAGTGATAGGACTTGTGTTTATCTAAAAGAGAGATACAAATTTTTACAAATCAAAATTTGGCCTTTATTTCCACCACTATCCACCACTTACCCATATCTGCCTTGTTCTTGAACGTGTGATTGCAACCCTCGCGGCAACAGTGATAGTGAGATGTCTTCTTCCCAAAGAAAGGACAATCCTCGATTTTACAATTTTCATGTGCACGAAAGCGTCGGAAGCCTTCTTGCACAATTTCCGAATTCTTACGGTGGAAATTCGCATGCATTTGCACATCACTTGTGCTCACATAAACCTTGGGGCAATCTTCGTAAACACAGTGGTAATGTGTTTGCTTCCAGCAAAACGCACAACCAGCACCATAACTCGGCTCACAATCATCGGAACCGGAGAAACGTGCAAAGCCGAGCAGCAAACTCTCTTTGCGCTTTTTATGCCATTTCAAATGTCGTATTATGTCATCCTTTTTGCTCAATATCTTACCATGACAGGGCTCGTCGTAGCAATGAAAGTGTTCGCGCAAATTCTCCTGCCGACAAAGCGCATTATCACACTCCAAGTAAGATGAGACTTTGCGTAAATTCTTGAGATTCTCCTCATTCTGCAGAAAGGCGTCCAAACTGCTGACGCTGCTGAGGCTCATGATGCCAGAAGCATTGCTGAGACTTACACCGGCAGTGTGCTGTATGGTGGTCTCCTGCTTATTGGGATGTGCCTTTGGGTGTTGGTTAGGATTTTTACTATTCGCCTTGGGGACCTGGTCACTAGAGGGTGGTGTTAGCAGAGTTTTGGCTAGCGTCATGGGTGTCATATTCAAGTTTTCATTTTCAATGAGCTGCGTGAACGAGCCGGTGCTCTCTTGGGAGACGATAGAGCTTTGTTGTGAGTGGTAATGTGTAGAATCGGCCGGCTGCTTCGTGGGTGTCTGGTAAGGCTGCAAGGGAACATTAAAAAATTAATACATTTTATACTATAGAAATATAAATTAAACAAATATAATATGTAGAGAACTAGGCAAAATATGAAAATAAAGGGACTCAAAACAGTTTCTCTCCACCCACATTCAATTTACAAATTCACTGGAAATAAATTGGATATCCAACGATTTTTTCCGTAGCTGTAGAGACGAAGAAGAGGATAAGTCTGTCGAACATTACCCCTGCCACTATCCAGCCTTGACATTTGCTGGATACAAATTCCTCGGAAAACACTTATTTAACTGTCTCGCCGAGCTAGCCCCAGGCACATGAAATTGAGAAGGTGACAATAGGAGCCTCACGGCGGTATCTAAGTGGACTAAGTGTACTAGTAATGGCAGCAGCCATAATAACTTAACTCTTAGTTCACTGTTGTTCGACGGTTTAAATTTTTGAATTTGTTCCTTTAACATTTTTAGGGATCTTAGACACTGGTAAGAGTATATCAGTTCAACTCCCTTATTGCCAGCCCAGTACCAGCTTGTGGTATACCCTTCATACTAATTTATTTCCTCTTCTTCTTTGATGGGAATTTCTTTTGTGATTCGAGACCAATTGGGAACACCAATTTATGGCAAAGACCTTCATCGTCTTCTTAATAGAATCGAGGTCTTTCTTTTCCTCAGCTGCCAACAATAGGTACAGCTCCAATATAATACTTTTAAAGCTGAAGTTTCTTAGCTTAATGAATTAATATTCAGTCAGAGAAAAATAATGCGCTTTAGTGCCATTCAGAGGGTCCTAGGTACGTACCCTGGTCAGATAAATTCCAGGAAATTAACCATAAAAAATTATTTTTTCTAAATGTCGTCGATTTCTTTGATACTCTCGGCGAAGTCTAGCTGAATTTTCTACAATAACAACACCTAAAATTAGAGATATTATACAAAATACAAATCAGTGAATGCGATGGCCAAGCAGCTCTCTTTGAACTTAGTATGGGTACCAAGCCATGCATAGTTGCATACCAGGTAACTGGATGATGCACGAGCTTAAAAAGAAGAGCACTTCTTTTCCACTTTCACAATGCTGCTCTCTCGTCTTTCAACGTAGACGTCAGCTTAAGATAAAAAGATTTCCATTACTGGAACAGAGAAAGTTTTAGAGAGCTTAGCTCGCTAAAAACGATAGAACTGTCCATAATGATCGGTTTTCTAAAGGAGTATGTTCTTCGAGGTAGGTACTGTGAGTGACTGAGCATACCATAAAGCGACTTCTGCAGGATTTGTATGGGGGAGGAAGAACCTAAGACCTTAAACCACTTCCTTTGCAAATGCACCGCATTTTGAGGGGTAGGTTTAAGTCTCAAACTTTATAGACTAGAGCGATATAGTCGTTGCAAAGTTATGTCGAATGCGCTGTTTTGCACACTACACACATTTGTTTGACTACCGAGTGGAGGCTCAATAGAATCCTCATTGGTATCACAATGAGTCCGATTGATGCCCTAAGTGCGCTGATGCCCGGCAGCTACTTCAACCTAACCTAATCTCACCTACCTATGGTCGGTCTACTAGTGTATTCCTAACATGAAAAAGTCCACCACGCATAAAGACGCTCATCACAAATAAAAGCAGGTGGTCGGTTGGAAATTACTTCTGTGGCTAAAAGCTCCAATTCATACATCATTGAAATTATACAGAATGATTTATGATAAACATTCTTAAATTTCTGGCGCATTTTGCGATAATTCTTTAAAATTCTGTAGAAAAAACATTTTTTTTTTCTTAAATCTATTTTTTACAAATTTTAGTAGTAGTAACAAGCATCGCAGAGAGCCATTTGATCACGTTCAAGAGCCCACGCGAGTACTCCAATTAGACATCTTTTCATATGATCATTAAGTTTATTTACAGAAAAGTCTCGTATTTTCATTAGAAATAAAGTTGTCGTTTAGTTTTTGTTTATATTTTTCATATTTTTCAACATTAACAGCAACATTGTTGGCGAATTCGCTGTTGATCTTGCACAACTGTCAGGCAGTTGACTCGGTAATCGATACTGTAAACATTAGCAAATAAGACTTGAAGAGAAACATGTGTAAATATGTATGCACGAATGAATGAGACCCAGCAGCACGTCAAAGTAAAGAATATAAATATTCATACTTCTAGGCTCCATAACGAGAACCAAAAAAAGTTCTCTGCAGTGTTACCCAAAAGCAAAGTGATATTTACATACAAAAGTATTTACATACAAAACATACTCAAGTATGAGGGACAGTTCTAATAACCGATTGGAAGTGATTTCTCATCGCTTTGAATTTCCGACTCTCAGTCAAAAGTATATTTGGCCATACTGTCATTCCAAACTATCTCTAAACAGCCGCTGAATTCTAACGCGGAGCTTTTGTTTTATGTCAGAAATACGCTCGAAGACCTTGGCTTTCCCTGCCGAGGGGTGGCCGCAATGAGAAATATTAGATTTTAATAATTTCAGGCATACCACGCCGGGCCTCGAAGCCTGTCCTTCAGAATGACTGGGCTTTTGTGGCCACATGATTATGCGGTTCTGATCCGGTTCAATTCCGTTTCGGATTTAAAATATAGCTAAACAAATTATTGTAAATTTGAAACTGTTTTTGTCTATTGCCAAAGGACTAAGAATGGGTATTTGACTAAAGAGATTAACCACTGGAATATGTTTGTATATAACAGTAAATATATAGGCTTATAAATTTTCTAGTTTTAAAAGTACAGGTTCGTATTTTAAATTTTGTCAAATTTAACTGTCAAGCCAATCCAAACTTTAAGACACGATCGTGGTTGACATAATCGTCCAACTACTGGCAAAATTTTAAGGAAATGTGTAGAACCATTGTAAGACCTGTGCATGACCGTTCCACCTCAAATATCGCTACTGTAGTAAGTGAAAGTGTAGCCGAAACCCCTAATGTGTCTATTTCTCGCGGTTCTCAGTAGCTGGCCCTATCTTACTGCACATTTTGGCGCATTTTCCTGGACGGACATAAAGTCGAGCTCACACAAGCAGTGGACGGCGTTTTTTCGCACAAAATGTTATTCAGCCACGAGGTACATTTCTCACTCAGAGATAAGTTAAGTGGCGCTCTTTGGCCCGGCGATCTTTTGCGGCCTTACTCGCTATCAATTCGGAGCGTTATGGTCTTATGACAAGAGACTTTTTCGCCTGCAATTGAAGAACACGGCTTGGATGGTATATGGCTTCAATGAGATGGTACCACAAGTCACACATCACGAGCACGATTATGGCTTTACTGCGTGAAAAATTTCCCAGTCGCGTCAACTCTCGTCTTGGCGATGTCAATTGTCCACCTAGATCCGATTCGACAACGTTGGACCTTTTTGTGGAGCTATGCGAAGATATTGTTTATGTGGATAAACTTTTAATTCCTGAGCACTTGCGAATCAACATTTATCAGGTTATGGCTGAGGTACCGCCCAATATGTGGCAAAAAAAGTGTTCGAAAATTACTTCAAACTGATTGAAACCGATGCGAGAATTCGTGAGGGGGTCATTTGAATGAAGGAGTGTTTCACATATAAAGCCAAAGTTCAAATGTTGCAATATAAAAGAAAATTGTTAAAAAAAATACTTTAAATGAATTTGAATTACGTTTATTTTGAAAACCGCAAAATGGATCACCCATAGTATATGTACGGCCATTCCATAATAATATCAGACGTTTGCGCGCCGATCTTCGTTATTTTGCTGAAATTTTCCACTTTTTTAATTTCAAGTCAAAACTGGCGGAAGCAGATTCGGTTAGTTTATAAAATATCGCTTCTTTTATTATTCATTATTTTTTTGTTTTTTTGTTAAAAAACACTTCAGATGAAAATTAATCCACCAACAGGCAAAATATTGGTTGCTCATAATATTGTAAAACTGTACGTTGTTATATTTTTCGATAAAAAAAATAATCGATATTTTTTAATATACGAATTTTAAAAAGAATTCGATCGATAATTTTGAATTTTTTTCGATTAAAGCGTTGGGAAGACGAAATCGCATGTTTGTGGTTATCTGAGGCGTGTTTGGGAGAGCAAGAATGGGATCGAAAAATTTAAATCTTAGAATAACAATTATTTTTAATACAAAAAAATTTTGTTATTGATGGAATTTTGTCTAAAAAATTAAATCTAAAAGTACCGTTAGTATTAAAAAAAAACAATAGTTCCATATAAAGAGTTTTCGAATAAGAAGGGTTATTTTGAATATCCTGTTATTCCGGTAGATGTCTACGACAGTAATAAGAACGGAACGATACACGCTTCAACAACATATTGAAATTATTAAAATTCACTATAAAAATTGCATCATCTTGACTGATGAGGCCCATTTTCACTTAAATAAACAAAACTGTCACATCTGGGGCTCGGAAAACTCAAGATTTATTGTTGAAAACCCTCTCCATCCTCAACATGTAACTCTTTGAAGCGATTAATGCTCCAGCGGGGTCATTGGACCTTTCTTTTTCGAAAATTGATGACTTTCATTACCGAAAGATTAATGATTTTGTATGAAGGTATTGATCTGGAAAACGTTTACTTTCAAGAAAACGGCGCTACGTACCACACAAGCAACGAAACCATAGATCTTTTAAAGAAAAAGTTTCTTTGAATATCGAAATAACAGCTCTTATTGGAAACCCCTATATAATGGTTGGACAAAGGTTTTAAACAAAAAATCTGTTTAAAAACAATAAACGCGATTGGAATTGTGTGTTTTTAAACGCAATTTAGCTTATGAGCAACTATTTTTACTATTAAATTAAGTGTTATTTCATACTTCAACTCAATAATCTCAGCTGATAGTCCCACAACGATTCATAAAAATACGCAAATTGAATCATAGAAATAAGAAAAGACTTACCAGACTCGACGAAGCATCCAAGTTATTGGACGAATTACGCAGATCCACATTACAACTGGAGCTAAGATTTCCCGTATCGTCGGTAGTCTGCAAGAGACTAGCTAATGGTTTCTCATCTTCTTCATCATCGTCTTCAACATTCTCAGTCTCAACTAAATCCACGCTTTCGCGCTGTGTCGCTATCCCACCATCTTCTGCATCAACTTTTCCATCCCTACGCCATGTATCTTCACTCATCCGTTCATCTTCCAACGAAATTATGCCACTGACATCTTCAACGTCGTTGGATGCGGTCGAAGCATTGTCCATTGGACTACACTCGTCCTCCTCCAGCTGCGTTGACGCCACCACCTCAGATTCAACCGCCGTTGTCGGCACCTTCTCATCATCTTCTTGTACTTCTTCTTCATCGCCTTCGTCTACCTCATCTTCGGTGGGCGTAGATGTCACTGTAGAAGATTGAAGAAAATTACCAGCTGTTATAGCGGTATTATTACTTACTAAATTATCTGTTGGGAATAGTTGTTGTGTTTGTATGGAAGGAAGTTGACTACTCGCCGTTACATTGTAAGCAGCCGCTGCCAATGATAGCGCCGCCGCAGCAGTTATGCCAGAATTTGGTGTTGTTGGTGTTAACAATAAATTCGATGGCGTGGTAAATGCTTGGGCGGCGTCTATGTTAGTTAGTGTGGGTGTCGCTAACATCGGTAGCGGTGGTGCTGACAATTGGCCGAATAGTAACTGTTGTAGGAGAGAAAGGTTGTGTGTTTGGGTTTGGTGTAATTGTGTGTGTGTTTGTTGTTGGTTATATTGTTGTGTGGCTATTGTGGAGTCGGAATTACTATTGGGACTACGGGTGGTACAACTACTGCTACTACTACAGTTGGTAGTGATGATTGTGGTTTGCGAATTTTTGCGTAATTGCGTTCTTGGATTGTTTAATTGTTGTTGTTGTTGTTGTTGCTGCTGCTGTGACCGCAATTCTTGCTGTTGGGCAGTTATTGTCGCTGCCGCTGACACTGTGCTGCTGATGTCCATCTCCATATCACGTTTGCCGGGTGAGGGTAGATTATGCAGTTGTTGTTGTTGCTGCTGCTGCTGTTGCATCTGTTGCATCTGTTGCTGTTGCTGCTGCTGCTGCTGCAGCAAATTCATCATATACAGCTGCATAATAAACTCCAATTGGGTGGACATTTTCGCGGTATTTATTTTAGTTTGTGTTTTTGTTGTAATTAACGTTTTTCAATCAACGATCACACTCAAGCACAATCTGGCGATATATTCACAGTCAACAACGACAGTTTCAAAATATATATTTTTTTCGAAATAAAAGCAATTTTAATTGTTACAAATTTCATAAATCGATAAATTTTGAACTGCACAATAATTTTTTTTTATTTTATTAAGAATATTTTTTTATTTAGTAAAAATATTTTTTTATTGTAGTTTGTTAAACTTTTTTCAAAATATTGCTTATCAAAAATATTTTTTTTTTTAATTATATTTTAGCACAATATTTTTCACAATTTTCTTATTTTATTATTATCTCATTTCATTTTCTGTACATCCAAGAGCAACACAATTTAAATGTGTAACGGTTATTTTTCGTTTCGCTAAAAATTCACATAACCACACTAAATTTAAATTTTAATATATTTTTTTTTTATTTTTATGTCGAAATTTCTTTCTTCGCAGCGAAGTATTTGTGCTTCGCATGAAGTCTTTAAGAAATAAAAGCGATAAATCTAGCAGCAGATTGTCTCGCAAGCTTGGCTGGAGGGCTCAAACTGATTCAACTCTTCCACGGCGAGCGTCTAATATACGTGGCTGTTCTTTAAAAAATTTGTTCGAACATGAAAAGATAGTGAAAATTTGCAGCATCACAACGCTTTCAACCCTCTCGCTAGGCGTAAAAAAGTGATCGGCGAAAACTCTTGCTTTGGCTTGTCTTTTACGCTCTCTGCTAAAAAAAGAATGCCCTTCATGCATGCACGGAGTATGTGTATTTGTGTAAATCGGCTCTCTTCGAATTTTCCATTTTTTACTCCTAGAGAGAGGGTTGATTAGCTCAGCTATTTTTTAGCAAATGCTGTACACTTTCAATAGCGAATGCAAGCGTTTTGCACTCTCTCACTCTGAGCTCATGCTCTTATACTTAAAGTCACTCTCCTTTGATTCTGGAACAATGTGCTGAGTTTACAAACATACATTCTCTCTTACTTCTTTAATATCTGTCCGTTTTTTGGTTTTCATACGTTTTTTTTATTTTTGCAATTTCTTCCACCAATAAAATGCCAGCAAAATGCTAATCCCATTTGAAAAGTGGTGTTTTTTAGGTAAAAAAATGAAAATCAAACAACCAACAGCAAGTCGAGGAATTCGACGCTCCCTGTAGTGCTCTTGTTTGGGAATATTATATTGTAATTGTTGCTTTTTACGGGGCTCGGACAGCTGTGCAAAAAAATTCCTTTGGTGCGAAAAAATGGCATATGGACCATTTGAATGTAGTGCATACGTATGAATGTTACGTGTATATATATGTATGTACGTATATAAATGCTTATGTAATTATGTACATTTTACAAACATATGTACATATGTACTTATGTAGGTATAAGGGAAGCTGATTATTGGTATGTGTTAATTAAATTAAATTAAATTTAGTTCACCATAAAAGAGCATATGGCCCTTATGTATGTATATACACATACATATATGCATATATAATTGGAGCTTTGTAACCGCTGAAGCGATTGAACCTACAGTTTATACTCAAGCCGCCTCCGAACGGTTGATGGTTTTTTTTATGAGGAGTTCTTATTTCACATGAGAAATATACATACATATATGCCGAGGAGCGACCGAAATTGGAAAATTTAACTATATTTTTTTTTTTAATTAATTTCAGACAACTTTTGGATATTGGTCGTCCAAGGATTTGAACCCTAGCCCTCCGAATGGCAGTTCGCAATACTAAACACTCGGCTTCCACGACTAGGTTCCTTAAGTATATACATACATATTGATGATAAAAAATCAGATCCTGGATCCACTCTCTAAATTACATAATACATACGTACATATGTATGTATATAACGGCGTCCGCAATAGCCGAGTAAAAAGCATTGCGCACTGCCATTCGGAAATTCATGGCTCTACTCCCGATTTGTCCAACATCCGAAATTATAAAAAGCAATTTTTCAAATTGTAAAAGTGAAAGTTCCTCATAAAAATCCATTAGCCGTTCCGAGGCATAAACCGTAGTACATTGCAGGAACAACTCAGCCGATAATCGCTTCAGCGACTTGTGCCTTGTAGTTAACACTTCGAAACTTACGACTCCATCCAATTCCATCTATAATCGCGAAAAAGTCAAACGCACGGTTAAGTTAACCGAATTTTAGACAAATCCAAATTCCAAAAATTCAACTTTTTAGTTAACTGTTTTCAAGTGAGTGAATTTTTTGCGGCAACAAGTGGATGGCTCGCAAATTTTAAGAAGCGACACGCTTGATACAATGCCAGACAAATTTGTAGAGGGTGAAGTTGTCACATCATATGATTGCTTGTTCTTCCTTCATTCCATTTCAGCAAATTACACAAACAAAATACATGAGAAATAGTTTTTGATATTAGGAACTTTTTATTACACCAGCAAAATACATGGAACGCAAACCATTTATGACTTTATGAAAACTACGATTACACAAACAAAATACAAAGGCTCTTTGTTATTGCATTCTTGCTACTACCGTGTGTAAATTTGACTTGATGCAGCACAAGAACAAGATATAAAATTGACAATTACACAAGCAAAGCGAAAGGATATTTTCAAAGCTTCTGAAAATATTACTTAAGAAAGAAGGTCCTAAGGCCTCAAATGCACTACGAGTAGCTACCACAGCAAAAACTCCATGACTTCGAAAAACACATTGAAAAGCAGCTAATTCATTACATTGTTATTTATCCTCATATATGTATATATATACAGGCCTACTCTGTCGAGGTAACAAAATTTACCATTCAGTAACAAAGTTTACCATTCAGTAAATTTTGTTAACATTTCGTATTCTGAGCTCACTGTTACCCTGTAAATTTTGTTACCAGCGAAATAGGAGGTGACAAAAATATCTGCTGTTTGATTTTGTGTTGTAAGTTTGAGAAAAAATAAAAACCAAAATGGGTAGGCATATTTTAGGCCTTGAATTCATTGAAGATGAAGAAAAAAGTGCAAAAAGCCGTATTTCAAGAAGTTTTCGAGACTAAAAAATAGCCTTTTAATTTGAAAGATAACATTTTCATTCAGCTTTTTTTTTGCCCAGGCATATTTTCCATAATTCGGTTCAAATATTTATGATTTAATAAACAAATTAATAAAACTTTTTTAATTTTTATGTGCACTGTCTTCCATTTCGATGTGAATATTTTTCTTTTTACTTTATCAACTGGCAAATGTAATTTGACATGGACGAAAAAAAGCGGTGCTGCCAAATATTTTTCAAACATTGTAACCACTTCGCCAGAATACCAAATTCAATTTCGGGTGTTAAAGAAAAGTTACTTTACCGGCAACAGTGAGAATAGGCCTGATAGTCATGTATTTATTTTAAATTTTTTAAGGTCTAAATATGTAAGTAAATCAATTGTAATAAATTTTTCGTCTCTCAACCTCATTTCCCTATAATTCGTAGTTCATATGAAAAGAATAACACATGTCTTGCAAACTTATACTTTCAACACTGACCATAGAATTAAAAATACTCTTTTATTTATGTACATATATTTATTTATTATTTTTTATGCAGAATTTGTTTGTGTTTGTTTGTTGTTGTTTTGTTTCAGTTCCACACATCCACATGCAAGCGAATGATTTTGGAAATATCTTCCCTCCTCCTTTTCTTCTTACGATTGCCGTTTAGCACAGTGCCTCCCGCCGTCACTAGGTAAAAATCGAAATTTTTAATGGCTTTGAATTAATATTTTTTTTGATATTTTCGGTAAGTTAATTTATCCACCAGCATCCATAAATTAACGAAAATTAATTTAAATAAAAAATTAAGTTAATTTTTCTAATAGCGGCCGCTCCTTGGTAGGGAATGTCAACCCCTCCAAGTGTATTTCTTACATAAAAGGCTGCGCAGTATGAGCTTTAGGTCACTTTATTTTGTTGAAAAAAATTTACTTAAATTATTATTTTAAATTAAATTTCTATATTTTTGTTTTTTATATGTTGGTTGGACAGCGACTTGAACCATCACCTTCCGAATGGCTCTGCGCAATGCTAAACACTTTGCTACCGCGGCCGCTTATTCATTTATTTTTTTGCGCTGGTGACTCAGTGATTTTATTGGTGATTTTTTTTAGAAAGCATACCCAAAGTTAAGAGAGTTTGTGGATTTTTCAAATTTTCAAAAAAGTCGATTTTTCGGTAATTTTCATTAACTTCTATATCCACTTCTATTTAATTCGAACCCAGCGGTATTCTTCTGTTTAAGTCCGCGATTTGCAATAAAAAATAGATATTTTGTTTAAGCAAACATCGGGCTTATCCGACAGTTGCCACCTAAAAAACTGTTTTCGTTAAATTTTATTTCTTTCTGAGGCACTATTTATTATAAAGGGTATTTCTTTAAGACATGTGCTTTTTAAGATGAAATAAAACACTTATAGTTCAATATTATGACCAATAGTTTAACTTTATTTTATTTGAAATGTTTTCGAGATAGTGAAAGCCGCAAGTTGACTCGAATAAATTTCCGATTTTCGACCATTTTTTGCCGCAATGGTGGTCGTTTGCCAGCAATTAGGCGTCGAATATTCTCTTCCGAGGCGTCAATCGTCTTGAACGTAGATAAACGACCTCACATAACCCCACAAAAACACGATTTTGAAAGAAACACCACAGGCCCACGACGCGAGATAATGTGCTTACCAAAAGTTTCCTTCAATTAATTGATTGTTTCGTTGGCTGTATGGCATGCAGCGCCGTGTTTTTGGAACCAAAGATCGTTTATAATAACATCCTCCAATTCAGGCATGATAAGGCCATTACTTGTTGCTCTATAGTGCTCTCATCGACTGTAACATTATGGCCGTCTTTATTTCCGAAGAAATGTGGAAGAAAGATTCCCTTTGCCCCTACAGCACAAGAACCAGTGACTTTTTGAGTATGTAACGGTGTCTCAACAATGGCTTGTAGTTTCTCATCACTCCAAATACGGCAATTTTGCATATTAACAATTTAACCAAAAGATGAACTTCCCTCTGGCTGAACAAAATTGTCTTGCGTAAATCGCGATCGTTGGCCATCGTCGTTTGGGCACATTCACCGATCGTGTGACTCCTTTGATGG